ACTCGACCAAAGCCCTGATTCTTTTCATGTTATTTCTTCCGTCGTCGTCAGAAAATAATGCAAAACGGACACAAACGCATAATGCTACGTAACTGCTCTTTCAAGCGAGCAATTGGCCGTGGAATGTTTGTTATGTCGGAGATCTGTTGGTGGCAGCCAGTAGGCCAGCTGAACAAATGACAGCCAGCGCTGTTTGGAAGTCTGTGGGACTCTGGTATTACTTTGCCTGAATGGTTGATGTGAGACTCTGCATGGGATGCTTGGTATGGTCGACCGAGCGGAAACGTCGCGCTGGGTGACAGTGGGCGGTGTTTAATAGACTTGTCAGCCTGCCAAGTCTTCTGACTTCTTAGACTGACTCCGGCACGGCAAAGATGTAATTACTCTTAATTTTATAGCAATGAAATCCTTTATTTATTTTTTTTCTTCTTCTGAAACAAATTTGAGGGTATAACAGCACGTGCTTTTTTCCTAGCATCACAATTAAATGATCATAGCTACATTTGGTGTTTCTGTCCTCCCCCTACCGCCACCCAACACTACCCCCGAGACTGCCACACAGGACGTGCTTCTCTTAAATGATTAAAATAAATTTTCTTTTTTAAAAGAAACTTTCTGGCAACAGAAAGTGTATAGCCGTTCTCGTATCAATGTGTCACCCCCTTCAATTTTTACATTCTTTTTAGTGGGAACCCTCAGCAAATATATGGCCATGTTCATGTCCATGCGTTTCTCTCAAGTCACACCGACCCCAACCAACTGCGAGGCAACAAAATCTCAGTAAAGCCCATTCGTGCTGGACCCGGTTTGTTTATTTTACTCAGACCGGCCGACTACATTTTTTTTTTTTGGGCCATTTGCATGCTGTTAATGTAAGCACTTCTGGCTGCCCTCCATCATACACCGATTAAGGTCTGTCACATTCGGCAATGCACGTCGTACATGTACTTGGTTGTTTTTTGCTTTTCTAAACGAAGTTTAAGAATGAGTGTGGCGTATGGTAATACTGCAATATTTATTACGTTTCATTATTCAAAGTCTTATTCTAGTCCCGTGAAGGCCCCGGGTGATTCACATTTATTTGTTTTATTTAAAAAACATGATTCATAGTATTATTTGTTCTCTCTCTCTCTCTCTCTCTCTCTCTCTCTCTCTCTCTCTCTCTCTCTCTCCTTCCCACATTTTCACATCAAGCTCACACACTCTCGCACACCAGCGTACGCTCACGCCACTCTTTTCAGCGGTGTCCTTCCCAGCAAATTAAATTTACCCCAAAACTCCCATAGATCCTAGTCTAACATAACATTAGCCGACATGGGAGAGTTAAAACTTGAACAAACATACAGAGTAAACGAATGAGCAGTTGCTGCGCGCGCCCCAATCTCCTGATTTGATGAAGAGAGGCGGGATAATAGTGATATTGTTATGGCATAGACATGCTGTCGGCTGCCCCGTGTGTCCCTGAGATCCGATTATGATGCGCCGGATGGTATGTGAATCTCTCCTAGCGTATGAGCCGCGTACATACCTGTAGGGGCGCGGCGGTTTGCGAGCTGGCAGTGTGTAAGTGTCAGAGCTGTGCCCGTTCAACCTTACTATTCGACATTCACGATTTTTCAGCTGTTCTCAGCAATTCGAAGCCTGGCAAAGCCGTTCGAATGACAAGCGATTTTTTATTGACAATGGATTTTCTATTCATTTTTTCTCAACATGTCGTATGTTAAGAGATATCTAAAACCATTGAGGTACATGTAAATACATAAATACTCAAATACTGTGTACTTAATGATTGCGAGACAGAGAGATAACTGGAGTCAACAAGAGTTGTTAAACATCCCTCTGAGTTTAATGTGTACAAGTGCATGACTGTGTTTATTAAAGAAAGAAATTCCAACAAAACAATTCCTTCAATGTACTCGAATATCACGAATAGTGACTTCGTGCTTCGAAGCGTCAATGAATTTTAATTTCCTCATAAACGCACAGCACTTACTCGCGTGTGTGGAATTCCCGTTTATTAATACATCTCTCCCACGGAGAGAGAAAAACCAGAGCATTTGCACACACAAGCGTTTTATTATACGGCTCGTACTGGTACGGTGCTTGTCTGCGCTCAACACAGGGTGATCTATTCTCTCCTTGTACACGCTGTCTTCTCTCTCTCTCTCTCTCTCTCTCTCTCTCTCTCTCTCTCTCTCTCTCTCCCTCTCTCTCTATCTCACACACACACATACATCCTTGAGTAAAGACAATCTAACAAAACCTACCCAGACACTCGTACACATTGATAACATCACACAATAAAAGTGATGGTTCAAGTATTGGTGAAACAGAGAGAGGGTGAGGGGTGGCACAGGCAGGGCTGTAAGAGATAAAGTGCGTCTATTCTCTGGTCTCTTTTCAGCTTCTCAACATAATAATTTGTTATTAGTTTTTAGTAAGTTTAAGTACCGAAGATTACAAGTATCAGTAAGAGTATTACGGCATATTTGCAACAGAAACGGGTCATATAAGTGCCGAAAATTAGACGTGTTACAGGAGAGAAACGAACATGAAAAAAGGAGAGATATGGACGGTAGGTTTTTGATAGGAAAGAAGGCGCAAAATATACCAGAACATCCACCAACACCCCACGCTATTTTCTTTAAAATCTGAAGGGTCAACAAGTACAAGCAGCTTCCTGGACGAGATACAACATTTTCCCCTCACTGACGTCACAAACGTGATGTATCAGGCATCGAACGCTATTTTAGATATTTTATATGTTACATTACTTCAAAACATCACACACTTGAGAATCAAATTATCAAGCACTAAAACATTTAATTTGAAAATGATTCTTTAAGGTGTAACAGGCTCTTCTTGCGCCTGCAAATATACTGTCACGCACATTCTTTCTTCTAAAAGTACTTGCATGTAAACATCTTTATCAACGTGCGCACGCACACACACACACACACACACATATATATATATTTTTTTTTTTTCCCCCCCCTTAT